TTTGCCAATCAGCACGCGACAATACGCTGTTCAAACTATTGAACGAAATTGTGTGGACTGTCGATAAGGCGGGCATTTTTAATTTTAATTATAAATTATAAGTTAAAAAAGAACATAAGAGGCAGAGAAAACGTAAATATAAGTATTGAACTGTTTTTGTATGATATTTATGATCTATTTGAATGACACAGCTTTGCAAGCAAACAAATCATAATGCGCTACTACAATACTTCAATGAAACACACCTGTCTATATATACATGTAACACAGTGAATGTACCGTACCTTAATACATTACCTCCTGTCTAATGAAGAGGTATTGTACAATACCTTAATAGTACCTCCTGTCTTAACTCTGAGACATGTACAATGCCTAAATACAGTATAATTTAATATTTCCTTTTTAATGGATAGACATCGTCGATACATCTAGCACAGAGACATGTCCAATACTTCAATACAATACATCCTATCCAATGCATGTATAGACATGTGCATTTTTTTTTAAAAGAGTCTGTGATCAACAAGCATTAAGTCTATATTGAATTAATTTAACGAATGCTTGTACTGAACCTTTTCGTATGCAATTCTAATTGTACAGAGTATAAAATCCAAGCTTCTTGAGAGTCTTAAAACGAAGCTGACTCCGGACGGTAAACTAGTGTCCAATACTGTCACCCTGCAGTTTGTATCGGAATACTCTCCGAGACAAGGACCAGTCACTGACAGCCTGTTGCCCGTGGTAACAGGGCAGTCCACTGGTCAGGGAGTTCTACAATTCTTCAATGAAGAGGTTTACTTCAAAAACCTTACCTCTACCACATTGGGGAACACACTGATGGTGATTGACGTGTTACCTACCACCATGCCTTTGTTTGACAAGTGAGTAGTAATGCTAGTCAAGGTCACTTAAAGTCTTATGTGACATCATATACTAGACATACATACAGCTGAAAAAATGTTTTCTCTAGAAACTGAAATGTAAGGCATCACTTGCCCTTCAATATCCACTTTGTGTCTTGATATTCACCTTTTGGATAAGTACAATGTTTCTCTCTACTTTTGGAGAAGTTTTACCTTTTTTCATGATTAATAGAAAATTTGCACATTTTACATAATGTTCTTGCAGATTAGCCTTCAGGTATTTTGAGTGAACTGATGTATATCTTGAAAATAATTATGCCAACAATGGACAAGTCTTAAACAGGTTAATTATTTACATGTTATAAAATTATTTGTGGATATGTATGTAACCAGTGTACTGGTTGATATGTATACAAGTTCTGTGTATCTGAGTGTAACCTCCATTTGGTTGATGTGTTTACAGATGGTCTATTGACCTATTTTTCAGATTACAGCTCCATGTCCCCAGTGGTGTTGGAGTGATTGCCATCCCCGGCAAACAGACACGTGGCAGAGGTCAGTAATGTTAAGAATCTACTTACAATGTCTTCATTGTGGTCTGGTGGAACTGAGACCACATTGTGCTTTATTAGTTATATGTGTAGTCTTTAATGTGAACCCACTACACACCTATATACATGTAAGGCTAGATTAAAAATATATGTTGATGTTAGTAGATGATATTCTCTGATACCAATAGAGACAGAGTATTGTATTACTGTCAGATACCTACAGAGAAAGAGTTCTGTATTACTCTAAGATACCTTCAGAGACATAATATTGTATTACGCTAAGATACCTTCAGAGACATAGTATTGTATTACTCTAAGAAACCTTTAGAGACATAGTATTGTATTACTCTAAGATACCTATAGAGGCAGAGTATTGTATTACTCTAAGATACCTATAGAGGCAGAGTATTGTATTACTCTAAGATACCTATAGAGGCAGAGTATTGAATTACTCTCAGATACCTACAGAGACAGAGTCTTGTATTACTGTCAGATACCTACAGAGAAAGAGTTCTGTATTACTCTAAGATACCTATAGAGGCAGAGTATTGTATTACTCTCAGATACCTACAGAGACAGAGAATTGTATTACTCTCAGATACCGACAGAGACAGAGTATTTTATTACTCTCAGATACCTACAGAGACAGAGTATTGTATTACTCTCAGATACCTACAGAGGCAGAGTATTGTATTACTCTCAGATACCTACAGAGACAGAGAATTGTATTACTCTAGGATACCTACAGAGACAGAGTATTGTATTACTCTCAGATACCTACAGAGACAGAGTATTTTATTACTCTCAGATACATATAGAGGCAGAGTATTGTATTACCCTCAGATACCTACAGAGGCATAGTATTGTTTTACTCTTAGATACCTATAGAGGCAGAGTATTGTATTACTCTCAGATACCTACAGAGACAGAGAATTGTATTACTCTCAGATACCTATAGAGGCAGAGTATTGTATTACTCTCAGATACCTATAGAGGCAGAATATTGTATTACTCTCAGATACCTACAGAGACAGAGTATTGTATTACTCTCAGATACATATAGAGACAGAGTATTGTATTGCTCTCAGATACCAATAGAGGCAGAGTATTGTATTACTCTCAGATACATATAGAGAAAGAGTATTGTATTACTCTCAGATACCTACAGAGACAGAGAATAGTATTACTCTCAGATACCTATAGAGACAGAATTGTATTACTCTCAGATACCTATCGAGGCAGAGTATTGTATTACTCTCAGATACACCTATAGAGACAGAATATTGTATTACTCTCAGATACCTATAGAGACAGAGAATTGTATTACTCTCAGATACCTACAGAGGCAGAATATTGTATTACTCTCAGATACCTACAGAGACAGAATATTGTATTACTCTCCGATACCTACAGAGGCAGAGTATTGTATTACTCTCAGATACCTACAGAGACAGAGTATTTTATTACTCTCAGATACATATAGAGGCAGAGTATTGTATTACTCTCAGATACCTACAGAGGCATAGTATTGTTTTACTCTTAGATACCTATAGAGGCAGAGTATTGTATTACTCTCAGATACCTACAGAGACAGAATTGTATTACTCTCAGATACCTACAGAGGCAGAGTATTGTATCACTCTCAGATACCTACAGAGACAGAGTATTGTATTACTCTCAGATACATACAGAGGCAGAGTATTGTATTACTCTCGGATACCTACAGAGGCATAGTATTGTTTTACTCTTAGATACCTATAGAGGCAGAGTATTGTATTACTCTCAGATACCTACAGAGACAGAATTGTATTACTCTCAGATACATATAGAGACAGAGTATTGTATTGCTCTCAGATACCAATAGAGGCAGAGTATTGTATTACTCTCAGATACCTATAGAGGCAGAATATTGTATTACTCTCAGATACCTACAGAGACAGAGAATTGTATTACTCTCAGATACCTATCGAGGCAGAGTATTGTATTACTCTAAGATACCTACAGAGACAGAGTATTGTATTACTCTCAGATACCTACAGAGGCATAGTATTGTTTTACTCTTAGATACCTATAGAGGCAGAGTATTGTATTACTCTCAGATACTTACAGAGACAGAGTATTGTATTACTCTAAGATACCTCCAGAGGCATAGTATTGTATACATCTCAGATACCTACAGAGGGAGAGTATTGTATACCTCTTAGATACCTACAGAGGCAGAGTATTGTATTACTCTCAGTGACCTACAGAGACAGAGTATTGTATTACTCTAAGATACCTATAGAGACAGAGAATTGTATTACTCTCAGATACCTATAGAGACAGAGAATTGTATACCTCTCAGATACCTACAGAGACAGAGTATTGTATTACTCTTAAGATACCTACAGAGGCAGAGTATTGTATACCTCTCAGATACCTACAGAGGCAGAGTATTGTATACCTCTCAGATACCTACAGAGGCAGAGTATTGTATTACTCTAAGATACCTACAGAGGCAAAGTATTGTATTACTCTCAGATACTTACAGAGACAGAGAATTGTATTACTCTAAGATACCTATAGAGGCAGAGTATTGTATACCTCTCAGATACCTACAGAGGCAGAGTATTGTATACCTCTCAGATACCTACAGAGGCAGAGTATTTATACCTCTCAGATACCTACAGAGGCAGAGTATTGTATACCTCTCAGATGGCTATGGCTGAATTTATGACTCACAGATAGTTAATTATAGAGGCAGAGTATAGCTCTCAGGTGCCTAAAGAAGCTGTGTATATCTTTCAGATACCTATAGGTAGCTGATGATGAGAATAAGTCACAAGAGTTTATTGACATTCATGTGTTATAATATTGGTAAAACTTCATGACATATATTATGTGTTAATATTGGTAGTGTTATGTACATTGACATTGTAATCTAATGTTATTGGTACGGCTACATTGACATTGTAATCTAATGTTATTGGTACGGCTACATTGACATTGTAATCTAATGTTATTGGTATGGCTACATTGACATTGTAATCTAATGTTATTGGTATGGCTACATTGACATTGTAATCTAATGTTATTGGTACGGCTACATTGACATTGTAATCTAATGTTATTGGTACGGCTACATTGACATTGTAATCTAATGTTATTGGTACGGCTACATTGACATTGTAATCTAATGTTATTGGTACGGCTACATTGACATTGTAATCTAATGTTATTGGTACGGCTACATTGACATTGTAATCTAATGTTATTGGTACGGCTACATTGACATTGTAATCTAATGTTATTGGTACGGCTACATTGACATTGTAATCTAATGTTATTGGTACGGCTACATTGACATTGTAATCTAATGTTATTGGTACGGCTACATTGACATTGTAATCTAATGTTATTGGTACGGCTACATTGACATTGTAATCTAATGTTATTGGTACGGCTACATTGACATTGTAATCTAATGTTATTGGTACGGCTACATTGACATTGTAATCTAATGTTATTGGTACGGCTACATTGACATTGTAATCTAATGTTATTGGTACGGCTACATTGACATTGTAATCTAATGTTATTGGTACGGCTACATTGACATTGTATAATGATGTTGATACAAATTGACATTTTGTATTAATGTTTGTATGGCTATACATTGGCGATGTATATTGACATTAGTAAACCTATTTTGATATTTTGCGTTGTAGGCCGTGGTGGCAATGCTTGGCTGAGTCCGGTGGGCTGTGCCATGTTTTCTCTCCTTGTTAATGTCCCTATGGACAGTCCCCTAGGCCGACATGCATCCTACCTCCAGCACATCACCTCAGTGGCAGTAGTTGAGAGTGTGCGCTCACTTCCTGGGTACCAGGTAGGTCAAGGTCATCCTCTGCCTGGATACGTTGAAGATGAAATAAAAGTTGACCTCTATATAGATTGAATTAGAAAAACATAATGTCATTAAGACTACTTTTTTGAACCAATAAACAATGTTACTTTTGTCCCTCTGAATGCAATGTTAACCCAGATACATTGAATGTTTCAGCTACCAATGTACAATATCATCGTTTGGAAATCAAAAATTAATGTTACATGTGCATATATTACAAAATTCATAATTTTTCTTAGAAGCTTAAAACTTACAGTTGTGTTACCGCACAACGCACCAAAAATAGTGTGCGCACATTGTGCATATACTTCGTTCACACACTGTCCGCACATTGTCCACACATGGTGCGCACAACTGTGTGATTTAACAATTGCTCGCCCCGTTATGCGCTTCTCTCTGCACAACTGTGCGATTTGGTATCATTTGTTGATCAATATTACGGAATTAAAAACATACCGAAGGCTCATATGTAATAATGTACACTGTATAAATTACTGTTATTTCTCATCACAATAATTAAGATTACAGGTACTCTATGTACAATTTTACAATGCGCGTTACACAGTATTACATGTACAGTGACCGTAAGACTCAGGAATGGGTTTGGCTCCAAGGTAACAGAACAGGTTAATAACAATTTGATGAGTGACCAGAGTTTTACCTGGCCTTTGCCTGACACATAGAGCTGAGTGATATGTGATACTGTATGACCGTTATGAAAACACAACTGGATATTTAGTAATTGTTATTTGCATTCGGTTTGGCCTATAGCTCCCCTTCACCTGGATTTTCACACCCGACGAGTTATGTAAGTGCCCTGTGTGAGGAAAACTTTGGCCCAGGTACCTGTACAAAGTGGCTATGCTAACCTGTATACAGGACTGTGCTGCAATTTTACATGTGTCGATTAAGGTTGTTTAAAAAACACAGTTGTGGGATCGCACAACGTTACACCATGTGCAGTGTGTGCACGATGTGTGCACGGTGTGTGAACGATGTGTGCACGAAGTGCGAACGATAAAAAATTGGACGATCATTCCTTGTGCACATTTGTGCGGACGATCGACGAACATTGGGTGATAACAATCGTGGTTGGTGTAAATTAAGGAATGGCTGGACATTATATACGGTTTCGTGTTTGAACATAAAATTAGATTGTTTAGTATGTTTCTATACTCTAGCTACATCTATAAGCTTATCTTTCTGTCTATACTTTCTTAAATTTTAGAAATGGTGTTTTGTTGGGTTTTTAAATGACCTTAATCGACACGTGTAAATTTACAACACAGTCTCGGCTACACAGGTTAACATTGCCACTTTGTACCTGGACCGTAGTTTACCCCACCCGGGGCACTTACGTCACTCGCCAAGGTGTGAAAACCAGATGAAGGGGAGCTATAGACCAAAACGAATGCAAATAACAAATAGTAAACGTCCAGTTGAGTTTTCATAACGGTCATACGGTATCATATATCAACTCTATGGGTCAGGCACAGGCCAGGTAAAACTCCGGTCACTCATCAAATTGTTATTTACCTGTTCTGTTACCGCCGAGCCAAACCCATTCTTGACAGCCTAATGGTCAGTGTATACTGTATTACACGCATTGTAAACTTGTACATACTCTTAATTATAGCAGAAACGTATACGTCTCTGATTATAGTGATGAGAAATTACAGCGATATATACAGTGTACATTATTGCATACGAGCATTCCGTATTTTTTCCATTCTGTAATATTGATCAACAAATTATACCATATCGCACAGATGTGCGGAGAGAAGCGCACAATGGGGCGAACGATTGTTAAATCGCACAGTTGTGCGCACCATGTGTGGACGATGTGCGGACGGTGTGTGAACGATCTATGCACGGTGTGTGAACGATCTATGCGGTATTTTTGGTGTGTTGTGCGTTCCCACAACTGTACCAAAAAACATTTCTAAATTTAACAAAGTATAGACAGAAAGATAAACTTATAGATGTAGCTAGCTATATAGAAACATACTTACAAATCAAGTTTATATGTTAAAACACGAAACTGTATATATTGTAAAACCATTCCTCAATTTACATCAACCACGATTGTGTAATATAGCACAAGGTTCGTCCACTGTGCGCACAAATTTGCGCAAGCAATGATCATCCCATTTTTTATTGTTCCCACATCCTGCATACGCCGTGCACACATTGTATATACACCATGCACATATCGTGCGCACATCGTGTAACGTACGTTATGCGCGATCCCACAACTGAATTACTAGACTTGGCACGGAGTATCGTTGGGCAAAGGAGACTCAATTTTATATAAACAGAGCCTGAGCCTGTACAATGTTGAAAATCCTTCTCTTTCAGTACAAATTAGAAGGATTTTAACAAAAAATTGAGTTCAAAGCATCCTTGTGCAAGGGGAACAGTATTTGTATAAATGGAGAGTGTGGCATCCCTTGGGGCAGAGAGGCAGGGCCCAAAAGGGAAAACTTATGACGAATGATTAAAATCCTTCATCTTTCATACAAGTAAAGGCAAAATTGGCAAAAATAACAGTTTTAACCACAATATAATAACAGGCTTTGATGTCCTAATGACGATGTATTATACTGTAACTACAGGTTAAATAACATTTTGTTCTAGGACATCGACTTGAGACTGAAGTGGCCCAACGACATTTACTTCAGTAACAAGATGAAGCTTGGAGGAGTTGTCATCAAGTCAACAATCATCGATGGCATGTTTGTAGCCAACATCGGTAAATAATTAGTAAAAGGGGAGACAACTAGGGCAAAATGTTAGTGTTGGTGCGTCACTTATTTGACTGATCAAAAATGCAGTAGCCTGATATAGTTTTAAGTTAAATTACACATGTTTGTTTACATAGCTGATATAACACAGGTTTGTTTACATAGCTGATATAACACAGGTTTGTTTACATAGCTGATATAACACAGGTTTGTTTACATAGCTGATGTTACACAAGTTTGTTTACATAGCTGATGTTACACAGGTTTGTTTACATAGCTGATAAAACACAGGCTTTGTTTACATAGCTGATATAACACAGGCTTTGTTTACATAGCTGGTCAATGTGTTACACATGTTTGTTAACATACTGATATTACTGAGGTTTCGTTTACACAGCTGATATTACACATGATTGTTTACATGCTGATATTACACAAGTTTTGTTTACATAGCTGATGTTACACAGGTTTGTTTACATAGCTGATAAAACACAGGCTTTGTTTACATAGCTGATATAACACAGGCTTTGTTTACATAGCTGGTCAAT